CTCCTCTCCCTCCTCTCCCTCCCTCCCCCCCTCCGTCCTCTCCCTCCTCTCCCTCTCTCCCTCCCCCCCTCCCTCCTCTCCCTCCTCTCCCTCCTTCCCTCCGTCCTCTCCCTGCCGGCCGCCCCCCCCCCCCTCATGTTCCACGGCTTCCTCATCATGATTCCCTTCGGGGATTTCTTACCTACCTATCTACCTTCTATCTACCTTCTCCTCGTCCCAGCCTCTCTTGTCCTCCTCCCCCCCCCCTCCTCCTCCTCTCCCACCCTTGGGCAGCAACTAACACATCGGCCAGCCAAGACAAACTCGACTGGCCGAGCCCTTCCCTTGCTCCCCCCTGTCCTCCTGCCGCTCCCCTCGGACCTGACGTTGCTAAAAAATGCGGCACCGCAGAGCATCACGACCAGAACCCCGGCCCCCATCTTCCGCGTCACCCTGCGACCGGGATCGAGCCGCGAGGGCCCCCATACCCCGAAATTGGGCGAACCCGGGCGAAGCAGCGGACTCGGAATCGGGCTGGTTAGGTTGATTTGGTTTGACTTTTTAATGGTCTTTGGGGCTTCCCATGTTTTTCCCGGCGAGGCCGGGTGAAATTCCGTGCCCGCCGTTGACTGACGAATTGACTGACTGACTGGTTGACTGACGGAACGTCAGCGGGGCACTGTGAACAACACATTTCAAACCGCCCGCGGCCGCGCAACCGCAACTGGGCGACACATTTCGGCCCGTCCGCGGGCGCGCAACCGGACTTGGGCGACACATTTCGACCCGCCCGCGGCCTCGCAACCGCAACCGGACCTGGGCGACACATTTCAACCCGCCCGCGGGCGCGCAACCGCAACTGGGCGACGCATTTCAACCCGCCCGCGGGCGCGCAACCGCAACCGCAACTGGGCGACACATTTCGATCCGCCCGCGGCCTCGCAACCGCAACCAGACCTGGGCGACGCATTTCAACCCGCCCGCGGGCGCGCAACCGCAACTGGTCGACGCATTTCAACCCGCCCGCGGGCGCGCAATCGCAACCGAAACTACGCGACACATTTCGACCCGTCCGCGGACGCGCAACCGCAACCGCACCTGGGCGACACATTTCAACCCGCCCGCGGGCGCGCAACCGCAACTGGGCGACACATTCCAACCCGCCCGCGAACGCGCAACCGCAACCGGACTTGGGCGACACATTTCGACCCGCCCGCGGGCGCGCAACAGCAGCCGCACCTGGGCGACACGTTTCAACTCGCTTGCGGTCGCGCAACCGCAACCTGTGCGACACATTTCGACCCGCCCGCGGCCTCGCAACCGCGACCAGACCTGGGCGACGCATTTCAACCCGCCCGCGGGCGCGCAACCGCAAACGCAACTACGCGACAGATTTCGACCCGCCCGCGGGCGCGCAACCGCAACTGGGCGACACGTGTCAACCCGCCCGCGGGCGCGCAACCGCAACCGCAATTGGGCGACACATTTCGACCCGCCCGCGGCCTCGCAACCGCAACCAGACCTGGCCGACACATTGCAACCCGCCCGCGGGCGCGCAACCGCAAACGCAACTACGCGACAGATTTCGACCCGTCCGCGGGCGCGCAACCGCAACTGGGCGACGCATTTCAACCCGCCCGCGGGCGCGCAACCGTAACCGCACTTGGGCGACACATTTCGACCCGCCCGCGGCCTCGCAACCGCAACCAGACCTGGCCGACACATTTCAACCCGCCCGCGGGCGCGCAACCGCAACTGGGCGACGCATTTCAACCCGTCCGCGGGCGCGCAACCGCACCCGAAACTACGCGACAAATTTCGACCCGTCCGCGGACGCGCAACCGCAACCGCACCCGGGCCGCGCATTTCGACCCGCCTGCGGGCGCGCAACCGAAGCCGCACCTGGGCGACACGTTTCAATTCGCCCGCGGGCGCGCAACCGCAACTGGGCGACATATTTCAACCCGCCCGCGGGCGCGCAACCGCAACCGCAACCGGGCGACACATTTCAACCCGCCCGCGAACGCGCAACCGCAGCCGCAATTGCGCGACACACTTCGACCCGCCCGCGGGCGCGCAACCGCAGCCGCACCTGGGCGACACATTTCAACCCGCCCGCGGGCGCAATTGGGCGACAAATTTCAAACCGCCGCGGGCGCGCAACCGCAACCGAAACTACGCGACACATTTCGAACCGTCCGCGGACGCGCAACCGCAACCGCACCTGCGCGACACATTACAACCCGCCCGCGGGCGCGCAACCGCAACTGGGCGACACATGTCAACCCGCCCGCGGGCGCGCGACCGCAACCGCACCTGGGCGACACATTTCGACCCGCCCGCGGGCGCGCAACCGAAGCCGCACTTGGGCGACACGTTTCAAGTCGCCTGCGGGCGCGCAACCGCAACTGTGCGACACATTTCGACCCGCCCGCGGGCACGCAGACGCAACTGCAACTACGCGACACACTTCGACCCGCCCGCGGGCGCGCAACCGCAACCGCAACTGCGCGACACATTTCGACCCGCCCGCGGGCGCGCAACCGCAAGCGCAACTGGGCGACACGTTTCAATTCGCCTGCGGGCGCGCAACCGCAATTGGGCGACATATTTCAACCCGCCCGCGGGCGCGCAACCGCAAGCGCAACTGGGCGACACATTTCGACCCGTCCGCGGGCGCGCAACCGCAACTGGGCGACACATTTCAACCCGCCCGCGGGCGCGCAACCGCGACCGCACGTGGGCGACCCATTTAAACCCGCCCGCGGGCGCGCAACCGCAACTGGGCGACACATTTCAACCCGCCCGCGGGCGCGCAACCGCAACCGCGCGTGGGCGCCGCACTCCGACCCGCCCGCGGGCGCGCAACAGCAACCGCAATTGGGCGACATATTTCAACCCGCCCGCGTGCGCGTCACCGCAACCGCAACCGGGCGACACATTTCAACCCGCCGGCGGGCGCGCAATCGCAACTGGGCGACGCATTTCAACCCGCCCGCGGGCGCGCAACCGCATTCGCAACTACGCGACACACTTCGACCCGCCCGCGGACGCGCAACCGCAACCGCCCCTGGGCGACACATTTCAACCCGCCCGCGGGCGCGCAACTGCAACCGCACCTGGGCGACACATTTCAGCCCGCCCGCGGGCGCGCAATCGCAACTGGGCGACGCATTTCAAACCGCCTGCGGGCGCGCAGCCGCAACCGCAACTACGCGACACATTTTGACACGCCCGCGGGCGCGCAACCGCAACCGCACCTGGGCGACACATTGCAACCCGCCTGCGGGCGCGCAACCGCAGCCGCACCCGGCGACACATTTCAACCCGCCCGCGGGCGCGCAACCGAATTTGGGCGACACATTTCAACTCGCCCGCGGGCGCGCAACCGCAACCCCAACTGGGCCACGCATTTCAACCCGCCCGCGGGCGCGCAACCGCAGCCGCACCGCTCACCTGCCGCCCTCCTCCAGGGGATCTGAGGCTGAGGAAGGGTGGGAGGGAGGTGGGGGGGAGGGGGGAGGGAGGAGGGAGGCGGTAGGGAGGAAGTAGGGGGGAGGGAGGGGAGACGGAGGGAGGGTAGAGAGCTCACAATGATTGGGGGCGGACAACTTTTGCCCCCCCCGTCCCACGCAAGTGGATCTCCACAAGGCTCCAGACCTTGGATTCCTTATCCAAGGCCTCCACGGTCTGCCAGCGGGATGGGTGGGTCAACCGCCCCCGAGCGGGGAGACGAGGCTTTAACAGAAGCGGTCCGTTGCACCGCCTACTTTGAAGCTGGGGGGGCGATGCTACGCGGATCGATTGCGCGTTCACCCGCGCGCAAGCAGCCCGCGGAATAGGTGCATCGGCGCCGTCTTATTCATGCAGTCTGCCGCGTCGGAGGCCTGCGTGAGCCACCGCGTAAGGTCGCCGCGCTCTCGTGTGCAAGCCTCTTTGCACAAGGACATGGGATTCATGCACATGTAACCGCGTGTTTTTGCAGCGTTCGGTTTTATATGGCTGGGCGCGCGGGCCTCCGCATGCGTGTCCAGCGCGTGGCTTCCACATGCTCCACATGTGAATCCAGCCGCGTGCAGTTCCAGTTTCCTGGTAGTCGTTCCCCCTGGGGGTTGGGCGAGTGAGGCGCCTGCCATGCGGCGTTCCCGGCCTGTGCGAGAGGGAGGGGGAGGACGATGAGGACGCTGAGCAGGAATGCGAGGGGGACGAGGAGCAGGACAAAGAGGAGAGGAGGAGGAGGAGGAGGAGGAGGAGGAAGAAGAAGAGGAGGAGGCTCTTCGGAGGAGGAGGAGGAGGAGGAGGAGGAGGAGGAGGAGGACGAAGAAGAGGGGGAGGAGGCGCAACTGGGAAACGGTGAGGGTGGAGGAGGGGGGCAGTGAATACGGAAAGGGCGTGAAGGATGAGGACAAAGAGGACACGGAGCAGGCGAAGGAGAGGTATGATCTGGTGCAGGAGCAGGTGGAAGAGGGGGAGGAGAACGAGGAGGAGGTAAGGGAGCAGGAGGAGGAGGAACAACAGGACGAGGAGGAGGAGGAGGATGAGGATGACGCACAGGAGGAGGAGGAGGAGGAGGAGGAGGAGGAGGAGGAGGAGGAGGAGGACGAAGAGGAGGAGGAGGAGGAGGAGGAGGAGGAGGAGGAGGAGGAGGAGGAGGAGGAGGAGGAGGAGGAGGAGGAGGAAGAAGAGGAGGAGAAGGAGGAGGAGGAGGAGGAGGAGGAGGAGGGGGGGGACCAGGATGGCCAGGAAGAAAAGGAGGACGATGGGGAGGGGGATGCCCGGGTGGTGCTGTTTGAGAAGGTGCACGAGCAGGTGCTTGTTGCGGAGGACGGAGGAGGATGAGGTGGTGGACGTCAAGGAAGATATGGGAGTGGAGGTGGATGTCCTCCTCGCGGCGTCCGGGCGTGACCCGCGGTTCTCCGCCGGGACATTGCAGTGGGGAATCCCCATTCCACGCTGCTGCCTCTGACTTGACTCCTGCTAGGCTCTGTCTGCGTGGCCGGATTATTCCTCACATTTAGCGACTTTCTCGCGCTTTGCTCGAGGGCGGCGAGGCGTCGTACAGCCTGCTCACCTTCAACGCCTGTTGGCGAAACAACGCCGAGACTTCCGTGTCCCCAGTCCACCCCCCCTCCCCCCGAGGGCGCCTGGGACGACGGCGCGGCGGCCGGGGAACGGCACCTGGCGGCCCTGGAGCCTGCGCTGCAGAAGGCTCCGCTCGTGCCCGCTCGGGGCCCCCCCCTCGCGGCCGACCCGCCGCCCGCCGCGCCCGCTGCGCCCGCTGCCCCCCTTCCTCCTCCTTCTCCTCCTCCTCCTCCTCCTCCTCCTCCTCCTCGTCCTCCTCCTCCTCCTCCTCCTCCTCCTCCTCCTCCTCCTCCTCCTCCTCCTCCTCCTCCTCCTCCCCCTCCCCCTCTGCGCGTATTTCCGCTCCGCCGCGGCCGGCCCTTCCCGCGGCAGCCTCGTGAGTAGCAGACAAATGTGGCCTGGATCATGTCTCAGAGCGGCCGCAGGGCACATTTGTGGCCTCCACGAAGCTCCGTCCGCAAGCGTCCCCGGATTCCGTGCCGGATGATATCGGCATGGGCCTCCGCCGGCTCGCGCGCGTGCGGGAGTTGGAGCCCCCTTTTTTCGCAATTGCGGCAGGTCGCATGCCTCCGCTTGCAGCCGATAAAATGCGGTCTCGTCCCCCTCTGGACCTCCCTCACCCCCGCTCTCGCCGAGCGGCTTCGGGCGGAGCTGCGAGTGTGGGCTCGTGGATAGGCCACTTTTCAAATGTGTGGGAGGTATAGTATTTGTGGGCGGGAGCCTGCCACTCTTGCTGATGAGTGGCAGGCTCCCGCCCTGAAGTGGAGTGGTAGATGCATGGAGCTTGGTGAGCTGCAGTCGTCTGCCGACCTGGCATCGCGATTGTATAATTAATTCTGCGGTGCTCACTTGCACGTCATCTGTGGCACAGTTCCTTCCAATCGATAAGGCTCTGAACGATCGTGAGCCCTGGGGTCTCCACAAGGCCCTGCACCTCCCCCCGACCTCGTTCTCTCGCTCCGAGCTCCTCTCCGTGGCGAGTTTGTTTCCTTCCCCCTCCCCCACCTCTCTTCTCACAAATGCCATGGCATGCGCATGGAGATGCGCGTCCGTTACGCTAGACACGATTTGGGGGACGCTGTATCGGCGATTGGAGGCCGCCGCCCAGAAGTCTCTGAGCCTCCCCGCTCTCAGCAGTGGCACGTGGTGTGCACCGTTCTGGGCCCGCCCTAAACAGGCCATTGTGCAATATCATCACGAGCTTGCGTCCGCCGCGCCAGCTTCGAATCCTCCCCTTACTTCATCGCACCTCCGTCTTGCCCAACAGCGGGCGCGCGGTGCCGTGCGCGCTGCGCTCACACTCAATCGTCGACCGCGGATGCAGGGAGTGTTTCAGCGCTCCCTTGCAGGCTTCGCTTGCCCTGACCAGTTGCAGCTGCAAATTGGCCGGCGCCTGCGCACGCGGTTTTCTCGTCCGACCCCCTCTCGACGCAGGGAGCGGTGGGACGGTGTGCGAGACATCCTGGGCCAGGCTCCACCCATGGTGCGATGGCCGTACATCAAAGCGATTGCGGATGGATGGACGACCACTCAACGCATGCACGTCATGGATTCTAAGTGGAGCTGCACCTTCGGGTGCCCTCTTCCCGATAGCATCGCACACTATTCGAAGTGCCCCCGCCTCATTCATCTCGTTTGCCCCTCCGTCTCGGGCTTGGTTTACCTGTGCAATATCCCGTGTTTGACCTCACCCGGGAAAGCGCCATTCTGGCCTTTGCCCTCAGCTTCTATATTACATATATATATATATATATATATATATATATATTATACACACCACGTGGCCAAGGAGATGGCCTCTCATCAAGACGGGTGCCCTTTAACTCTGCCCCAGCAGCTAGATGCACTCGAAGCGGCATTAGCCAATCTGCCCAACATTTACTCGATTCTTCTGCCTTCGCCTTACTTCTGACTGAAACCCACGAGGCGTTGAGTGCCCTGAGGCCCGTGGACTCTTGAGGTACTGGCGCTCCCCCCCCTCCTCCTCCTCCCCCTCCTCCTCCGCCGCCGCCGCCTCCTGCTCCTCCTTCTCCTCCTTCCTACGCTGCGCTCCTTCTCCTCCTCCTCCTCCTCCTCCTTTTCCGGGCTCATGTTCGGGACGAGGACAACTCCGCTCCAGAGCGTTCCGGAACGCCTCTGGCCCCCCCTGGGCCGCGCACGTGCTTCGGGCCAGGATCTTCGAGCCCCCCTCTTGAACGCCCCCCTCATTGGACGCCCCCGAGGCGGGGGAAGGCTGGTCGTACTGATCGGTGGTCGGCACGTGAGGGGTGTCGAAGACAGGCGCATTTCCAACGATTCCGTGCAGTCTTTGTTGTACACCTTGTCAGGAGAGGGAGGAGTCGGGCGGGGCTAGGACGAGAATAATCCCGTTCCAGAGCGTTCCTGAACGCTCCCACAGCGTTTCAGCACGCTCTGAGAAGGCCGCGGCGCCCGAGTCATCCTCCAGAGCCGCTGAAATTCTCGATTTATCCTCACCCGAGTTGATCCTCGTCCTGGTTTTGTCTCAGATCTCCCGGGGTTCCCATCGGCAGGATTCGATGCGCCGAGTAGGGGGATCGATTAGAGAATTGATTTACCCCAGAATTGATTTTCCCTCCGAATCCACGAACAATACGTATACTGCTCCGTCGATCCACGGAACATTCTTCGCACTGTCCGCAGATTCGACACAACAATCACCTTTGGGGTGAGCCAATTCTGCAGTCGATCCCCTACTCGAGTGCGGGCATTCCGTCCGAGGCGGGATTTTATACATGACCACCGCCTGGAGGGTCAGTCTTCGGAGCCTCGGCAGGCGGTGGATATGGACAGATTCGGGCCCCCAGGGGTCGAAATATATCCACATCCGCCGCCCGCTGGGGCACTAGGACGTCAGTTCCCAGGCGGTGGACATGGATAAATCCCCGCCTCGCATGAGTTCCCTTTCCCGGAAGACCAGAGGCGCAGTGGACATGGACAAAGTTCTGACCCCCCTATGAGAGGCTAGGCTTTTGTCCACATCCGCTGCGCCTCGGCCTCTTGGCGCCCCCCCCCCAGAACGTCCAAGATGCCGTGGATATGGATATCGATCATGTCCGCATTATCTCCAGTGGCAGGGCCCTCTGCTGCGCAACCGCTTCAATCCCGCCGCCTCGCATTCCGGTGCGGTTCGGAGCTCGACCTCGCCCGACCCCGGCGCGGGGGGGATGCGACCTCAGGAGGCCCCCCGCGGCCGCGGCGGTCGGCGGGGCCCACCCGGTCGGCCCCCCGCCGCCCGCCGCGGGGGGGGGCCGCCGCGGGGGGCCGCTCAGAGCGCCGCCTGGGGTCGGCAGGGCCCACGCGCTCGCCCCCGCCGCCCGCCGCCCGCCGCCGCGATTCGCCGGAGTGACCTTTGGTGCGGGCAGAGATGGGTCCCCAGATGGCTGAGAACGAAGCAGTCGCAGCTGGCTGCGCGCCCAGATTTGGTCCCCCCGCGGCCCCCCAAAAAGCCGCGCACCAAAGGTCACTCTTACCCAGGATCACTCTTGCGTATAGCCAGCCGACCAGGGGCGACGCGCGCACCGAGAAGTCTCGTAGCATATGCGTCCTGGCGAGCGCCTTCTGGCCACGCCGCCCGAGGGACGATACACTACAAGATGGGTATACCATCTGTTCGGGTCGGACGCGCGCCTCCAAGGCGGACGTACAGTATGAGTATGTCTCTGTGCGTCTCACAGGGGGCGGGGCGACGCGACGCGGGGCGGGGGCGAGGTCTGAGCCCGAGGCCTCGCCCCGGGAGGGCCTCTTCCAGGGGAGGCGCGGGGCGAGGGGCGAGGCCTTTCGGCCGGCGGGCGCGGGGCGGAGGGGCCTTAGGAGGAGGAGGAGGAGGAGGAGGAGGAGGAGGAGGAGGAGGAGGAGGTGGAGGAGGAGGAGGAGGAGGAGGATGAGCTCCCTGCCCATCTCTCGAGCGGGACTCGCCGTCTGCGTCGCCGCGGGCGTGGCTCCCGGCCGAGGCAGGGAGCCGGCCTGCCCCAGCAGCGGCCGCGTGCGGGCTCCGGCAGCACTTGCCGTTGGGCACCGTGCCCACGTTTTCCATACCTAGGGGAACGAAGAATGACATAAACATCACAACTTGGAGGTCCGCGCGGAATTCTCGGATCGGCGCTGGGGCCCCCTGGCGGCGCCTCCGGCGCCGCCCATGGCGCGCTTCGCGCGCCAGGGAGGGGGGTCCAGCGCCGATCCGAGAAATCCGCGCGGACCTCCGAGTTATTATGTTTATGTCATTCTTCGTTCCCCTAATACCCACTTCGGCCATCCAAAGTGGCTCAAGAGGGGACAAGACACACACACACACACACAGACACACTCCCAGGAAGAGATGGGAAAACATGGGACGTTGGGGGGGACGCCGAATACTCAGAAACTACATTTATTGCGGAGGCCGTACGGCAGGTGCCGCCGACCCTGAAGACAGCGACGACGAGGACGACGAGGATGTAGAGCACCTCGTGGATCCGTCTGGGCGCCTCTTGGGGCGCTCTTGGGGCGCTCGTGGGAGCCTTAGGGGCGCTCTTGGGGCCACCTTGCAGGAGATCAGTCACTGAAGGGGGGGTCCTTAATCAAATCAAGGCCGCCCCTCGGGAGCCCCAGAGATCGCCTCTTGGGGCGCTCTTGGAGCGCTGTTGGAGCTTGGTGTCTGTTTACTTTTGTACCCCTGGGCCCCTTTGGCCGTCGCCGCCGCCGCCCGCCGCCCGGGCGGGCCGCCGCGGAGGGCCGCACGGGCTGGCAGGGCCCGCCCGCCACCGCCGCCCGAGCCGCTTCTCTGCGGGCACTACTGCACACTGTTCATTTCTCATTCTTCGGAAGTTCTTTGATTTTTTGGGGGCAAGATCCTTTCGTTTCTAATTGTGCAATCCTGGGCCTCTTCCTGGCCACTAGGGGGCCAGGAACAATTAGAAACGAGCACAACTAGAAATGAGCATGATTAGAAATGAACGACGTGTACTGTCCATAGCCACTGCGGCGTTTCGGAGTGTTGAGTTCCCTTCCCCTGAAGACCAGAGGCGCAGTGGACATGGATAAAGTTCTGACGCCTATGAGAGGCTAGGCTTTTATCCACATCCGCTGCGCCTCGGCCTTTTGGCGCCTCTTCCCAGAACGTCCAAGAT